TGAAAATAAAAGAATGAGAGGCATTCATGCAAGGTATAACGGAATATACAGGGAGTGCAGAATTATTAGGCAAATGAGTATTTTGACCACATCATCCTCTTTATGCATGTTGTCTTACTCCAAGCTGTATAGGCTCGAAAGCCTACTACCAATTAAGCATATTAGGTGATGTGCATCTCTGTAATGAGAAGGGGTGTGGTCTAATGACATCAACACCCTATATCAGGTGTGCATAATTATTAGGCAACTTCCTTTCCTTTGGCAAAATGGGTCAAAAGAAGGACTTGACAGGCTCAGAAAAGTCAAAAATAGTGAGATATCTTGCAGAGGGATGCAGCACTCTTAAAATTGCAAAGCTTCTGAAGCGTGATCATCGAACAATCAAGCGTTTCATTCAAAATAGTCAACAGGGTCGCAAGAAGCGTGTGGAAAAACCAAGGTGCAAAATAACTGCCCATGAACTGAGAAAAGTCAAGCGTGCAGCTGCCACGATGCCACTTGCCACCAGTTTGGCCATATTTCAGAGCTGCAACATCACTGGAGTGCCCAAAAGCACAAGGTGTGCAATACTCAGAGACATGGCCAAGGTAAGAAAGGCTGAAAGACGACCACCACTGAACAAGACACACAAGCTGAAATGTCAAGACTGGGCCAAGAAATATCTCAAGACTGATTTTTCTAAGGTTTTATGGACTGATGAAATGAGAGTGAGTCTTGATGGGCCAGATGGATGGGCCCGTGGCTGGATTGGTAAAGGGCAGAGAGCTCCAGTCCGACTCAGACGCCAGCAAGGTGGAGGTGGAGTACTGGTTTGGGCTGGTATCATCAAAGATGAGCTTGTGGGGCCTTTTCGGGTTGAGGATGGAGTCAAGCTCAACTCCCAGTCCTACTGCCAGTTCCTGGAAGACACCTTCTTCAAGCAGTGGTACAGGAAGAAGTCTGCATCCTTCAAGAAAAACATGATTTTCATGCAGGACAATGCTCCATCACACGCGTCCAAGTACTCCACAGCGTGGCTGGCAAGAAAGGGTATAAAAGAAGAAAATCTAATGACATGGCCTCCTTGTTCACCTGATCTGAACCCCATTGAGAACCTGTGGTCCATCATCAAATATGAGATTTACAAGGAGGGAAAACAGTACACCTCTCTGAACAGTGTCTGGGAGGCTGTGGTTGCTGCTGCACGCAATGTTGATGGTGAACAGATCAAAACACTGACAGAATCCATGGATGGCAGGCTTTTGAGTGTCCTTGCAAAGAAAGGTGGCTATATTGGTCACTGATTTGTTTTTGTTTTGTTTTTGAATGTCAGAAATGTATATTTGTGAATGTTGAGATGTTATATTGGTTTCACTGGTAATAATAAATAATTGAAATGGGTATATATTTGTTTTTTGTTAAGTTGCCTAATAATTATGCACAGTAATAGCCACCTGCACACACAGATATCCCCCTAACATAGCTAAAACTAAAAACAAACTAAAAACTACTTCCAAAAATATTCAGCTTTGATATTAATGAGTTTTTTGGGTTCATTGAGAACATGGTTGTTGTTCAATAATAAAATTAATCCTCAAAAATACAACTTGCCTAATAATTCTGCACTCCCTGTATATTATTATATTCATGAACAATGATTAAAGGGAAGGGAATAAGATGTATCCTCTACTTCTTCTTTGAGGTGGTAGACAGGGGATCGGAGCTAGGAAGCAAGCATCAGACATCATGAAAACAAAAGTCAGGGTAATGTTTTGCACAATGTTTTCTCACAAATGCCAAGGTGTCCCTCTACAGACGGTGGAGGTATTCTTGGGGTGCAGACATTGTGGGGTTAAGAGTGGGGAACAAGTTTATATGGCTGTGGGGTCCATGGCCACGGAATGTGAGACACACAAATAGTCTTCATTACACAAGGGGTAAGAGTTTAGACCTGGTCATGATAATTGCCACATGATAATTGCCGAAGTAATGAGATGAAGAAATAAAATGTTTGTAGATATCCTTTCCAAATTAGCCATGGGCGGACCATTTATCGAGCTCATCTGTGCACAAGCTGAGCTGTGGGCTGTGAGCTCCAGATGTGGCGATGACAGCATCTCATATAATTCATCTGCCCACTTCCCACAGGGAGGTATAACAATTTATAGCATTTCACGATGAAGAATACATTGAGATCACTCTTGGTTTCAAGTACGTTTTGGGAAAGATTATTATTACTGCCCAAATCAATGGAAATCATTGTATCACCTTTGGAAAGAAGAAAGGTTGAGTGGAACCTTCCGTATATAGAACATCTTGTGGTTTAATTGATTTTAAAATAGGTACATTATATTAACCTATGCAAGTGATCTCACTGACCTAACTGAAGAGAGCAGTTCAGACATGTCAACTTGGTCTTCACCCCCTGAAGGACAGACACACAGACACAATATGATTATGAAGTGGTCCTTAATGATTTTGTGCTTCCTTAATGACAAAAACATCATCTATAAAATATAGATTACATTTTACATGTTAAAGTTCCATAAAAGCTTCATATTATAAAGACAAAATTAAAATTCATATTATAAAGACAAAGTTAAAATGTATAGCCTCCAGCAAAAAAAAGCTCTACAGGCACATTACATCAAAATAATTACAGAAAGGCAAACTTTTAGATTTTAAAAACATTTATAAATAGTTATTAATCGTGACAGGTTAAACTGAATCGTTCCCTATTCTTCATCTGTTCTCAGTTCTCTGACCAAGTTAATGTAAGTTTCGTGGCTGTTCCTTATATTAAACCCTAAAGGTATCGCACAGTCTTATCCTCTCAGACACTGCTTAAGGTGCCAGGGAATGGAAGGACGCAGACAGCTGACGAGTAGGATGTTAAAGAATCCCCAATGATTCGCATTCTGTGGGGTCTGCATCTGGGGAGACACCCTTCTATAAAACCCACAAAAACAGATGCTCTCTCTTTGCCGATAGTTTTGCGCAACCAGGATGTTTCAGTTAACCCATTTGCCACAGACGTGACAATGCAGCTGAAATTATTCTAAATCTAAATATTATTTTTTTTATTTATTTATGGATAAAATAGAAAGACTTGTTTCTATTGATCTTGAGCATGTCACCTGAACTCGCTGTAACATTAGATTGCAAGCTCTGGAGGACAAGAGCTTTTTGCATTTTAGATTAATACATTTATTATCAGCATTTTAAACTAATGAAAATATATACAATTTTGCTAACTCACAATATTCAAAAGTACAATTAAGAGGCACTATAGTCACCAGAACAGATACAGGTTGATAAAGTTGTTCTGGTGTCTACTTCCAGTCCCTGCAGGCTTTTTAATGTAAACACTGCCCCTGAGAAAATGCAGTGTTTACATTGCTGTCTAGGAACACCTCTAGCGGCAGTCACTCAGATGGCCATTAGACGTGCTTTCTGGGTCAGTGTTGCGCTGACGTTCAGTGTCTCCACGCTCTGCATTGATTCAATGCATCTCTATGAGGAGATGCTGATTGGCGTACCACACGATAGCCTTCCGAAGTTTTCCTATGGGAAAGCACTGGATTGGCTGAGATCATCAAGCTTGATTATCTCATCTAAGGAGGCTCAGTGGGGGTATTGTGGCTGGCTCCACCCCCAGCCATGCAACACTGCAAAAAGGTGAGTAAATTACTTTTTTAATGGGAGACAAGGGAGGCTGGGAACCTAAATGGCACTATTAGAACTATAATGGCAGGAATACACGTTTGTATTCCTGACACTATACACCCTGTTCCAAATTATTATGCAAATGATATTTTTCTCATTTACCTAAATAATTGATGTAAATAACAGTCAGCATAATTCTCATTTAATCAACTATTAAGAGTACAATTAAAATTTTATTGAACAAACCTCCTAATGATAACAGTATTTTTTTTAAACATAAAAAACTTACAATGCACTGTTCCAAATTATTACGCACAGTAAATTTCAAAACACTTTATAGGTAGTAAAGAACTGAAAATTGTCATTTGTTGTGTTTGCAGCATATTTACTGAAATCAAAAGCTATTTCAATCAAACTTATAACAACATTTTAACGTTTTAAACATTTTAACAGGTCACGTTACATTTTAACATAGGACCCCTTATTTGATAGCAGCTTCACAAGTCTTGTATCCATTGAACTTGTGAGTTTTTGCACAGTTTCTGCTTGAATTTGTTTGCAAGATGTCAGAATAGCCTCCCAGAGCTGCTGTTTGGATGTAAACTGCCTCCCACCCTCATAGATCTTTTGCTTGAGGATGCTCCAAAGGTTCTCAATAGGATTGAGGTCAGGGGAGGGTGGAGGCCACACAATGACTTTCTCTCCTTTTATCCCCATAGCAGCCATTGATGCAGAGGTATTCTTTGTAGAATGAGATGGTGCATTGTCATGCATGAAGATGATTTTATTACGGAAAGCATAGTTCTTCCATCTGTACCAGGGAAGAAAGTGGTCAGTCAGAAACTCCACATACTTTGCAGAGGTCATCTTTACACCTCCGGCCCAAAACATGACTCCACCACCGCCTTGCTGACATCGCAGCCTTGTTGGAACAGGGTGGCCGTCCACCAACCATCCACTACTCCATCCATCTGGACCATCCAGGGTTGCACGGCACTCATCAGTGAACAGGACTGTTTGAAAATTAGTCTTCATGTATTTTTCTGCCCAATGCAGCCGTTTCTGCTTGTGAGCATTGGTTAGAGGTGGCCGAATAGAAGGTTTATGCACAGTTGCAAGACTCTGGAGGACTCTACACCTTGATGTCCGTGGGACTCCAGAGGCACCAGTAGCTTCAAATATCTGTTTGCTGCTATGTAATGGTATTTTAGCAGCTGCTCTCTTGATCCGATGCATGGATCTGGCAGAAATATCTAATGTTTTCATACCTCGTCCAAAGCATTGAACTATTTCACTCTTTTCGGCAGCAGAGAGATCCTTTTTCTTCCCCCTATTGCATGAAAATGGTGCTCTGCTTAATAATGTGGAACAGCCTCCTTTAGTAGTTTTTCCTTAAATTGGGCTCACCTGGCAATCTAATTATCACAGGTGTCCGAGATTGTTTTCAGTGATCAAAAGAGACCTGAGACACAATGCCATCCATGAGTTAAACTGAAAAACAAAATATTTAATCTTTGTGACACTTAAATAGAATTTGCATAATAATTTGGAACAGGGTGTAGTGTTCCTTTAACCCTGTACAAAAGCAGGGGAGTGTTATCCCATAGCAACAAAAGTTAGATGGGCACAGAGTCATAAAATTAGCCCTGTTTGTAACTAATTAATTAAATTATGCGATAAAATTGTGCAAAGTAAAATGAAATGATAAAAGAAAACAGAAAATGTATCTATTGCTGGAACCCAAGATCTATCTTTATCAAACCTCTTATTTACTAAACTGATATCTATGTGATTTTCTTTAATGTATATTTTAAAATGCAATAAAATGCATTTTAAAAAAAGAAAACTAAAATCCTTAGGTTTAATGTCCAATAGCTATTTATCTTGTACAGCCAAGTATCCTGAATCGCACGTTCATACACCAATCACGTTCTTATTCTAGTACAGTCCGTTATCCCTGTACCAATCACTGAGATTGTTATCAGAATGTGTGTTCCCTACTGATAGATACCAATGGAAACGACATTTCTCAGCATTCTACTAACTGAGATTGTTATCAGAATGTATGTTGCTATACAACTGGTTTGTTGTCTGTTTAAATATTTTCCTTTCGTTACCCAGTAACAACATACGTTCCTTTATACATAAACATTAACAAATAATATTGTTCACAAATCTGAATTAGTAAAACTTCTTAAAAAATCCAGTATACATACACTAATATATTCCCCAGAGCTTTACGATTATAGAAAAGTGATATTTAGATGCAAAGAAATTCCTGACCAGGATATACGAGGTCTGTCTGAAAAAAGTACAACCATTGTTAATATAATGAGAATGGTTTGCTGGACATCGATGTAACCTGTCAGCCAAGGAGAGTAGGCTGGAATGCGCATGCGTGAACAATGATGCCTTCACCGTACAAGTCAGTTGGGGGCGCTAGATGCTGTTGAGTGAGCATGTGTACTGTGTGGTCGTCACATCCAAAATGACTGAACGAGTAGAGCAACGAATTGTTCCTGGGTTGCATCAAATTTTACGTTAAGCTTGAACATTCCTCAATGAAAGCTATCGGATGATTCAGGAGGCTTTTCTGGACGAATAATGAGTGCAGTGCAAATAAAAGTGTGGCACAAACGCTTCAAAGATGGTCGAGAATCTGCTGAAAGATTTGGCGCCCTGCGACTTCTGGCTTTTCCCAAAACATGTTTGAAAGGAAAGAGATTTCAGACCGTCACTGAGATTTAAGTAAATACAACAAGGCAACAAAGGATTTTGCAGAGTGTTTTGAACAGTGGAAGAGACGCTATCTTATGTGCAATGTTTCTTGAATCTTCTTCAATAAATGTCTCTATTTTTCATACTACATGGCTGGATACTTTCCGGACAGAACTCGTATATATTGGGCTGTGTGCAGTGACTGGCTGACCGGTAGACTATGAAGGTGTGTGTCAGGAGAGGATAACGGTGTTGTGAGCACTGCATTACACATTTGTCTGATTAAACGCACATTAGTCAGTCTACAAGCTACAGGCTTTAAAGGATCACTATAGTGTCAGGAAAACAAAGCGGTTTTCCTGACACTATAGTGCCCTGTGCATGCCCGCACCCTCAGGGTCCCCCTCCCGTGGCGCTGAAGGGGTTAAAACCTGTTAAGCAGCTTACCTAGAGTCTGGGTTAACCCCTGGGTTAACCCCAAATGTAAACATAGCAGTTTCTCTGAAACTGCTATGTTTGCATCTGAAGGGTAAAAACCTGAGGGACTTGGCACCAGGCCCGGACTGGCCATCGGGCACAGCGGGCAAATGCCCGGTGGGCCGCGGTGGCCGTGGGGCCGAGGCCGGCAGGGGAGGTCCCAGGATCTCCCCTGCCGGTCTATGCAGGGCCGGCACTATCCGAGCGCCGGCCCCGCTGTCTTCCATGGAGGGCCTGGGGAGATCAAAGATCTCCCTCACCGGCCCATTTAAACAGACCTGCGGCTGGAGAGGGAGGGAGAGGACCCGGCGGAGCTCTATCTTGCAGCTCCGCCGGGTTCCTCTCGCGAGATCCGGCGCGTTGCCATGGCAACGACCGGATCTCGCGAGAGTGAACTCTAGCCCGCAGGCTAGAGTTCACTCACCACTGGACCACCAGGGATGATGTGAGTGTGCCGGTCCCCCTCCTCCCAGCTACCACCATGCCGGTCCCCCCTCCCAGGCTAAAGGTAAGAGGGAGGGGGGATTTAATGCCTACTTAGGTTTTTTTTTTAAATTTCTTTATTTACCCCCCTTAGTTTTTTATTTACCCCCCAACACACATCATACACAGCACTCTCACACACATCATACACAGCTCTCACACACATCACACACAGCACTCTCACACACATCATACACAGCACTCTCACACACATCATACACAGCACTCTCACACACATCATACACAGCACTCACTCTCACACACATCATACACAGCACTCACACATCATACACAGCATCACACACAGCACTCTCTCACACACACAGCACTCTCACACATCACACTCAGCACCTCACACACATCATACACAGCACTCACACTCAGCACTCTCACACACATCATACACAGCACTCCACACACATCATACACAGCACTCACACACATCATACACAGCACTCTCACACTCAGCACTCTCACACACATCACACTCTGCACACTCACACACATGCACTCTCACACACACATACACAGCACTCTCACACATCACACTCAGCACTCTCACACACATCACACACAGCACTCTCACACACAGCACTCTCACACTCAGCACTCTCACACACATCATACACAGCACTCATCACACTCAGCACTCTCACACACAGCACTCTCACATCACACTCTCACACACATCATACACAGCACTCTCACACTCAGCACACTCAGCACTCTCACACACAGCACTCTCACACACATCATACACAGCACTCTCACACTCAGCACTCTCACACACATCATACACAGCACTCTCACACACATCATACACAGCACTCTCACACTCTGCACTCACACACGCCATACACAGCACTCTCACACACATCACACTCAGCACTCTCACACACATCATACACAGCACTCTCACACTCAGCACTCTCACACATCATGCACTCTCACACACATCATACACAGCACACAGCACTCTCACACACATCACACACACAGCACTCTCACACTCATCATACACAGCACCCACACACACAGCACCCTCACACAAATCAATCACATACAGCACCCACACATACAGCACCCTCACACACACACCACCCTCACACAGCACCCACACCTCACACACAGGATCCATCACACACACATACTGCACCCCTCACATACACACACAACCCCCCGATACACTGCATCACACACATACACAATACTTCCAAACATATTTATATAATATATATACACATATAAATACACACACAGCACCCCTAAACACATTTCATTCCAGACACACACTAGATCCTCTACCCAACTCTGGATCATCTACACACATACACACACACTAGATCCCTATATACACTCTGAATCCATTATATACGCACGCTCACTAGATCTCCTATACATATTCTCGGTCCTTCAAACACACACACACTCTGGGTCCCCTATACGCACACTAGATTCCTTGTAAGCAAACACATACTACATTCCCTGAACACACACTCTCTACAAACACTACATCACCTACACACACACACACACACACACACTATAGCCTGTATACACACACTTGCTACATCCCCTAAACACACATTCTCTAAAGCCCCTAGCCACATATGCATTACATTACACCACAAACACAACACAACTAAAACCGACCTTATTACACAATACCACACCACGACCAGCTCACTCTGCACAAACGCAATACCCCAAGCAGGCTCCAAACACATGCACAATACTCTTTCCTGGCCATTTTGTCTCCTGGTATCCATTTATAAGACACCAGAGACAAGTTGCAAGCAAACACAGTGCAAGCATGTTATTAAATTTGCTTGCACTGTGCAGAACAAATACAGGGCTTTTTTTCTCATGCTAGAGCTCTTCAGCAGAGCTCTGTGCATGGTCTGCCCTGGAAGAGCATTGAACCAACATGCTCACTTTGAGAGGGGGCGTGTTTGTCATGAGTGATGACAAAACACACCTCCTCTGCCCCGCCCCCTTTTTAGTGGGCCGCTGTGTTAAAAAAATGCCCGGGCCGAATTTTTTTCCCAGTCCGGCCCTGCTTGGCACCCAGACCACTTCATTGAGCTGAAGTGGTCTGGGTGCTTATAGTGTCCCTTTAACCCCTTAAGGACACATGACATGTGTGACATGTCCTGATTCTCTTTTATTCCAGAAGTTTGGTCCTTAAGGGGTTAAAGGGACACTCCAGGCACCCAGACCACTTCTGCCCATTGGAGTGGTCTGGGTGCCATCTCCCACTACCCTTAACCCTGCAAGTGTAATTATTGCAGGTTTTTATAAACTGCAATAATTACCTTGCAGGGTTAACTCCACCTCTAGTGGCTGTCTACTAAACAGCCACTAGAGGACACTTCCTGCTCTATAGCACAGAAAACCTGTGCTACAGCGTCGCTGGACGTCCTCACGCTGTGTGAGGACCTCCAGCGTTGCTCATTTCCCCATAGGAAAGCATTGAAAAGCATTTTCAATGCTTTCCTATGGGGAGCTCTAATGCGCATGCGCGGCATTGCCACGCATGCGCATTAGGTCTCCCCGGCCGGTGGGCAGGATCAGTCTCGCCCACCGGCCGACGTAATCACTCTGAGGAGCGGCGGCGGAGGAAGAAGCAGTGACGTGGGACATGTCGCTGCCTCTGGTAAGTAACTGAAGGGGTTTTCACCCCTTCAGCAACCGGGGATTGGGGGGTGGGAGGGAGAGGGGACCTGCAGTGCCAGGAAAACACGTTCCCTTTAAGCTGCAACAACATTTGCAAATATCTGCAGTTTTAAGCCAACCAGGGATAAGAGACAGGGTGCAGGATACTTTGCAATGATGCACAGTTGTCATGGTGCTTAGAGGGAACCTTTACATTTATATAAAAACTGTGTCATTTTTGAAATTTTGTAATGAAAATGAAATGTAGGTGCAGATAACATGACTAATATATATTTTCATGCTTATAAAAATAAAAGTTTAAAATAAATTGCTTTATAACAGATATTCATGGGTCTGTGGTAGCCACACCCACCTGGTAGGTCCCTCCCCCGAGGATCTGCTTAGGTCATAACGGAAGCTCCTACATTAGCATAGAGTAAAAAAGTGACTGTCTGCTAGCTGGTCTAAATAAATACATGTATTACATGTTCGTACTTAGCATCCTTTACCATACTATTTATTTGTGTTCCAGCTTTATGTGTTGGTAATGTGACCTGATTAACATGAATGCATGAAGTTCCATTTTGCTGGAGTAAGTCTCAGAAGATGAATCTTCAGTAGAGTTAATATTCTATCCAGAGTGATTATTTGGCTTTGCTGGAGATGTCCCAGATAATGAAGGACATACTGTAATATATTACAATGTTGCTCCCCAAAGCACAGGTCTACTTTGGCCAATGAAATCTGGCCCAGAGATTTTACCATTTCACAAAACCAGATCATTTATAAGTAAACTCCACAATGCGCAAATAGCCCACTCACGTCATGGTGGCTTCCTGAAGGAGAACACAACATGTTTTATAGATTATACAGAAATATGTCACTATGAGACTGCGGCACAGTAAGGGGAAAAATGAAGAACATTCACTCAACGCCTTCTGGGGTTGATGGGCCTGCAACGAATTAAACAGCAGTCTCTGAGCTTGAAGTAGTATTGTTTGGTCTCTTGGTTCTCTGCATAATCGTTCATCTAGTGTCTGCCACTTTAAAATCCCTTTTGGAGAAAAAGCTGAGACTAAGCATAAACTAGAAGATGTCTAGCTCCCTGCCAGACTACAGCTCCTATCATTACCAAACTACATCTCCTATTATCCCCATATTCACAGGTTTTAGCGTTTTTTAAAGGGCTGACAATTTAAGTTAGCAATCATGAAGATTAGTTACAGAGCATGCGCCGTTTCATATGCATCATCATTTATAAGATCTATTATAAGTAAATAGGTTACAAGTGTTCAAGTAAGCACCTCTTGTGTACGCAGAAATGTAGGGATAATTGAGCTAAGTCAGTGTATCCTGTTTTTTTGGACATAGAATTGATCCAGTGAAAAAGTACACATAAATAGCATACATATGTTGTCACAGGAGAGATAATTACGTGAATAGGATTCTAGCTACAGTATCTGAAAGTTCTGTTATGTTGTGTGATGATATCATTAAGACCCCAGGATGTACTTGGAGCCCAATGAATGTTCAATATGTGATTCCACATTAAAATACTTAAATAATAGGAAAATTATTAGTAATGGAACACTTCAGGCACCATAACAACTTCATCGGAATGAAGTTGATATTGTGCCAGAAGGTCCCTGGCGACAGCTTAACTTTGGGTATTACACCATGAATGAATGCCAAAGTCTTCCGTATGGCTCTGTTCAGCTCTATAACTGCCAAATTGTTTAAATCTGAGGCTTGAATCAGGAAGCTCTGGATTGGGCACCGCTGAGAGGCTCAGAGTGTCAGCTGATGCGCTCAGCCTCCCAGAAGCTTCCCTCTCACAAAATAGCTTGAGAAAGACGTGTATGTTTAGACCGCTTTGTCGATAGGGAACTACTAATAGGCTAAGACCATCAGCCTATCAGTGTCTCCCGGTCCATGACTTCCTGTTTCAATCCACGAACTGAGAGGCATGTGGAGGGGTGGAGCTGAACGACCTCCTGGAACCATAACAACTTAATTCAAATCAAATTGTTATGGTGCCCAGAGTGTTTCTTTAAGGGTAGAGCAGCTGATGAGTACAAACATGTTTCAGGACCTTTCTCAGCATGCATGGGATCTATTATTGTACTTGCCTCATAAACAGACACTATGTGGTAACATAACATTGCAGTGAATTAAAACTTGAATTGCAAATTTAATAAAATTCTTCAACCCAGGTACAATCAGAGTTTGGCTATTTTAGCTTAAGATTTATAATTCAGTTTTATATTTCTTTAATTCAGTGCTCAGTGAATAAACTCTCACCACAGCAGCATTTGATTGGAGGAGAGCGGCGTTTTGCCACACATTCATAGTTGTCTATGAAAAGATTGGATTGGAGGAGATCTCAGGCAATGTCAGCTTGGATGTTGACATCATTGTTGGAGGAGTTGGAGGCTGCAGTGGAGGTGTCCTGGTGCTGGAAACTGGATGAGTAATCTTTATTTTACACTGCAATGGGGGGTGGAGAGCAAGGAATCTATTTTCCCAAAATAACAATTATTATTATTATTGGACTGTAGGTACACTTTAATATAGTGAAACCAAGACTGCAATTCGTCTGAAATGTGAAGTATCAGCAGCAATCCGAATTCCGTAATTTCGAACCGCCATATAAGCAAGTTATGAAAAGACTGAACCAAACAATGAATGAACCGGTTTGATTTGTCCGTGATTCGAAGTTCCATCCATGGGGCCATAAAAGCCACTGAGATCAATCAATAAATAAAAATAAATAAATACATAAATAAATAAATAAATAAAACAAGGATAAGCTGGACTGAATGCTTAAAATCGAACCTCAAAAGTAACAAAAAGCATGAATGAGCAAATGTTGATTATTATTTTTATGATTATTATTTTATTATTTATATAGCGCCAGCAAATTCTGTAGCGCTGTACAATTTGTGGACAAACAGACACGTAATTGTAACCAGACAACTGGACGTACAGGAACAGAGAGGGGGAGGGCCCTGCGCAATGAGCTTACATGCTAGAGGGAGTGGGGTATAGTGACACAAAAGTTATAAGTAGGGTTAATGAAATAGGTTGCTAGAAAAGTATTCACTGACAACTCTGGGTATTTTTGACAGTTGCAGAAGAGGAGTCATGGGGGAAATTAAACCCCAATAGCAATTTAAATTATATGCTTTACTGAAGAAGTGTGTTTTCAAAGATTTTTTGAAGGAGTGGAGACTGGGTGAAAGTCTAACGGAGAAGGTAAGGGAGTTGCAGCCCTGGAGAAGTCTTGGAGGCGAGCATCAGATGTGGGAGTACAGACAGAGGATAGAAGTAGATCTTCAGCAGAGCGCAGGAGCCTCAACGGGACATACTTGTCTATTAGGGAGGATAGGCAGGTTGGAGCAGCATTGTGTAGGGACTTGTAAGCAAGCACCAGAATCTTAAATTGAGCCGTATATCTAACTGGAAGTCAATGTAAGGACTGACAGAGAGGGGAGGCGTGGGGGGTGCGGGCGGACAGGAAAATGAGCCTTGCTGCCGCTTTCATTATAGATTGCAGCAGTGCAATCTGGGAACACGTAAGACCACTGAGAAATGGATTGCAGTAGTCAAGGCAAGAAAGAACACCGGCATAGACCAGCACCTTAGCCGCATCTGGTGTAAAATAGGGGTGGATGCGAGCTATGTTTTTGAGATGGAAGCGACAGAATTTGGAGATCGATTGGACATGAGGGGTGAAGGAGAGCTCAGAGTCAAAGAGAACATCTAGGCAGCGAGCTTGCGAGGCAGTGGTGATGGTGGCGCCGTTGTCTTGGAGGAGACAGACACGGGAGTAGCAACACGTGATCAAATGTGAATCAAATTTGAATGGTAAAATAATATTCTATTCAATCATAATTCAGTTGGAATTTGATCAACTGAATTCGAATTAGAATCAGCATTAGAAAATTAAAGAATTGCTTTGTATATTTATTATATATCACATATAGATATTTTGAAGTCCACTGATTGGCCAGTTGTTGCACCATTTTGTTTTGTCCAAATAGTTTTTTCAAATCATTTGCGTGCAGAATATTCAGAGGAGCCGAACCAGGAGCTTGGGCAATATTCTTTTGACCGAACAAGTGTTTTTTTTCGGACAAATTGGATTCTGCAGTGAACTAGTTTTTTGAAAACTTTCCACTCTCTCAGAGCTACAGCTAGGGACTGTAATTATACTAATGTACACTAGAGGGAAGCAAAATAACATGTTACAGAAAATCTGCATGCATATGCTGCCTTTTGCTGCCCTCCGGTGGCAGAAACATGATAAATGGTAACCTTCACTTATCAATCAGTGAGGGTAACATTTAGGGGTATTTACTGAAGTGTGAATTGCCAGAATTTCAAAGTGAGTTTTACATTTTAGGCCAAAACAGCAGAATTGGAGACTTTCTTCAAATAAGTTAAGTTTTCAGTTCCCCTATTTTGGTCTAAATGTGAAATTCTCTTTGAATCTTCAACAATTCACACGTTAGCGCATAACGCTGATAATTATTACACAATATAAGGCAGACAGACTTCCGAATTATAAGGTTTCCTCTGCAGGAGAAAATGCTTACTTTGGGTGATTTGAAAGACTGAAGTTTATTCACACCAAGTTAATTAGTACAAGTCTCTGCGTGTAACCTTTAAACTGCTTTGCAAACATTGCATTTTGTGCTAGAATGGTTTTTATGGTTTAAAGCAGGGCTGTCTGACCTGCGGCCCCCCAGATGTTGCTGAACTACAACTCCCATGATTCTTTCAATTAAAAAGATAGCCAGGGAATCATGGGAGTTGTAGTTCAGCAACATCTGGGGGGCCGCAGGTTGGACAGCCCTGGTTTAAAGCGTGTATTTTAAAAATAACTAGCACACTTGTCATTGTATTTTTTTTTATGTCATGTCGGAAGT